GAGAAATTCGTTTGGGTGTAGATTCCGGCGGTTGAAAACGCCTGCGAAAAAAGGGGTGTTTGGTTGGCTTTCCATTATTGTCAGGTTCGGCGTAGTCCGCTTATATCGAGCCTTGATAGCCTTTAACGCGCTAATCGAAGAAGGTTCCAGGATGGTCGAATCACTGTAGCCCAATCTCCTCGCCCGTTTTTTTTTTGCCTGCCAAACCGGGCCTTGAATTTCACCAAAGAGCAGAACCCTCAAACGTATGAGTCATATAGCAACTGTAGAGAAAGTTTGAGATGTACGGGGATCTTGTAAAGTAAATGAGTACACAAGTTTTCCATCATCAACAAGGAAGCTTCAGATCCAGAGAAATGAAGTTTAGCCACTAGAAGTGCTCTACTATGTAACGTTATGTCAAATAGACTTGGTCATGTAAGAGAACATCAGATCGGACCATGTGTCAGGGACGCCGGGGACACAGAAATGAGAGCAGTCATCGTCGGATGTGCCTGCCCTGAACTTCGCCATGTGTGCATCAGGTCTCATCAAGCTGGCCTTGCTGACATCAAGAACCTTGAAGGTCGGGTTGCCTTGGAACACCTGAAGCAATACCAGCAAGTTCGGAAGAGAATATTTTGGCATTTGAATGGAAACATATGGCAGGATCAGATGGGTCTTTAAAACTCAAGACCCCTAAAGCCATTTGCTACCTGCCACCCTCACTACAAGCGCACTCTCCAACACACCACAAATCACTAACCATCACACTGCGCTCCTCGATTACAGCAAACGCCATCTGTTTGGAGGTATTAGGCCCCATCACCACACACACACACTCACCTTCACCACAGCGGTCCTCCCTTCGAGCGCGTCCGATTTCTTGGAAGCAAACGCCATCTGCTTGGAGGTCATGGGCCCCTTGGCCCCACTGCATGCCTTCACCGAATCCGTGGCAGCAAACGCGGACTCGTAGTGCGAGGCCGTGTAGGTGAGCACCATGGGCAGGCCCGTGTAGCCGGAGCTCGCGATGTAGTTGCGCATTGTCGTGTATGCGGCCGTCATGGCTGCTGATGACGTCATGCCCTTCTGCTGCTGCTTCTTCACAAACCACTGCCTCAGGTTCCCAGACTGCAGGTTGGGCATGTGGGGAGGTGGGGTAGGAAGAGGGAAACGGAAAGAGGGGTATGAGTTTCCTGCATGTGGTGGACGGCACACTCACACACATTCAAATGTACGACGACTATTTGCAAGCTGATTGCAGCGACCCACGACCACGATCTTGAGTGGAACCAGAACACAGCTGTGCAACGGTCCACTCGCGCGCTGCAGAGAAGCCCACATAGTGTGCGGTGCCTGAAGAATGGGCTCCATTCCTTGCATGTCTCACACTCTCGCTCTGTGTATTGTGGCTACACTGACAAGAAAGCATCGCCCTCACTCACTTGCTCACTCGCTCGTGCACTCACGCACGCACATTGGTAAACCAGAGGCCTGCAGAGAAACACCACGTAGTGCGAGCGGAGCCACTCACGCATGCACATTCACATGCCTGCGCGTACAACACTACCTGCAGCGCCCCACTCTCAATCACGCACACACGTACATTGGTGAACCAGTGGCCGGCAGAAAACACCACGTAGTGCGAGTGGCGCAGAAACGGAGTCCACTCCTTGCTGGGCACGTCCAGATTCACCTTCCACGGACTGCTGCTCGACACCGATCCCTGCATGATGCACGGTGGGTAAGAGGGGGGCCGGCATCAGGAACGTATGAAGAGAGGTTTAACGCCAGCTCCTTGCTGGGCACGTCCAGGTTCACCTTCCACGGGTTGCTGCTGGACGACGCTCCCTGAAGCATGCAAGGAAGGGAGGAGGGAAGGGAGGGGAGGGGTGGGAGGGGTGAGGACATGCAGGGAGGGCCATCACTTGCTGGGGCCGTCCAGCTTCACCACCTTCCTCGGACTGCTCCTGGACGCCGCGCCCTGTAGCATGCAAGGGGAATGGGAAGGGGGGAGGGGAGAGAACATGAGGGAAGGACGCAGAGAGGCTAAAGGGCGTCCCTTGTTGAGCACGCGCAGGGTCACCGTCCGTGCTGAAGGGCTGCTGCTGGACGCTCCACACGATGGTGCGGAACGTGGCGTTGCATTGCGGCACGACGTAGCCCTGCGCGGAGATTCTTCACCGCACGGGAATCGAGTGGGATGGGAACTACGACGCATTTCAGCGTACCACGGGGGTTGCGTCGACCAGGAAGCTGGACGCGATGGTGAGGAACGTGGCGTTGTACTGCGGCACGACGTAGCCCTGCGCGGAGACACAACCGCCTGTCCACGCAGGCAACACCTCACGGTACGTACCACGGGGGTTGCGTCGACCAGGAAGCTGGACGCGATAGTGAGGAACGTGGCGTTGTACTGCGGCACGACGTAGCCCTGCGCGGAGAGGCCCGTCTTGAAGAGCGCGCCGTTGACGTCCTTAGTGGCGGCGACGCTCTCGACGAGGCAGCGCACGGAGTGCTGCAGGTTCGGGTTGAACGAGTCGCCCACGCCCAGAAACACCTTGTTGCGCATCATCGACAGGAACGCCTTCGGGTCGAACCTGCACGGGAGCAGGGTTACGGGAGCGGTTAATGGAGGGTTGATAAGACAGGGGGAGTCGCTCCTGCGAGTAGAAAGTGACGGCAACGAGGAGTGGGAGGAGCTGGGCGGGAAGGAGCCGGACAGGAATTTGGGCGTAGAAAGCATGTCTTTAGAGCCATTGGAAAGAAAACGCTCACTTCTGGCGGGAGAAACACGTCAGTCAGGTTCCTGTTTGTGGTGCTCACTACTAACGTTCCTTCAGTACACGTCCAAGCCTTTGTACGTCTTTTGTACGGATATTTTTCGCTGCTCCCAAGCATCTCTTACTGTTGCACCTGCGCCACTCGCAGCTGATGTAGTCCTGTGCATTGTAAACTCAAGGTATTGCGCAGTCTAAACTGGTTCGTACCTCTGGATATTGCATCCGGGGCTTTTGAATTCGTAGTTGAGATACGCCGTGTCCTTGCGGCCGTTCTTCTGGCAGTTGAGGCTCGACCGGATGCTCTTGCACGACAACCCTGTGTAGCGCTTTGGGAGAGACGGGTTGCGCACCCATCTGCAGTGGTGAGAGGGAAGTGAGAGCGAGAGGTGAGAGATGACGTGAGAGCGCGAGGGAGTGAGGCTGGGGGGCATCGGTGCTCTTGCAGGTGCAGCCCCTGTAGCGCTTGGGGAGAGACGGGTTGCGCACCCATCTGCAGTGGTGAGCAGGGATGATGGAGGAAGATGAGAGACGAGAGATGAGAAGTGAGTGGTGAGAGCGACTAGTGAGTGCGGCGACAGAGGAGGAGGCGGAGCGAGGGAGCGGCTGTGCTGCTCGTCAAACTCGTGAGTTCCTTCGCCAATGCGGGGTCGTGCGCCATTTGGTCGCGACGAGCAGCTGATCATACGAATACTAGCTCGCCCTGGCCAGAGGAAAGAGCAGCAGTGACTTTCCGCTCACTCTTTCCCCTCCTCGCCAATGCGTAGTTGAGGTATATGGTAACGACGAAGGGTAGGAGATGAAATTTTCAGCTAGGAAAACGGTTTTGAGAGGTGGTCACTGGAACGGGCTAAACACCATGGATTGAAGGAATTTCGTCTTCAGGTGCATTACTTCCGAGTAGGGAATTAGGTGCGCACGAACGGAGGACGCCAAATATTGCAGGGAAATTGGGCGAGGTTTTGGCCTGAAGATGCACATGATTGAAGATTCTAGACTGAAGAAGAGACTCACGAGCCTGCGTTCAAGTCGCACTTCCCGCCTTGAGCTTCCACGTGGCAATGGTAGCATTGGAGTAACAGCAGAAGTAAAAGCGCCACTGGCGACGCGCGGAGCATCCTCAAGAGCGCAGCAGCCATAAGCGCTTGGAAGAAGTGCGAGATAGACTGCTGCTGCTTCACTCTACACTGTAATGCGTGCGTACTGGTGTTAGTATTAGAATGCGAGAGTCTGGAAAGGGGTGGAAAGCTGGTGAATAACAGTGTGATTATCACTCTTGCTACTCTTGCGACCTTTCGAGGCACCTCAGTATGCGCGTGAACAGGCGGGTGACTGTCAGTGGCTTTCTGGGTTAGGAGTGCCGTATGCTGGTGCTCCCACGGTACGGCGATTGACAGCGATAGTCGGCTTGACTGATTATTTGACCGAGCACACAGTCAGTCGTGACGACTCGACGACAGCGTTCGGAAGGAGGACTCGTGAGGCGTGGCTCACGAAGTCCAAGTGTGAGGGAACATCAGGTGGTCAGGAGGAACGATGATTAATCGGTTTACCGCGGACGACAAGATCCAAGTCGTGGCGGCCAACCAGCAGACAGCGGTGGTCGTCAGGGTGGGTACCGCGGTCCGTGAGTGCGGCAGTGCATGGGTGAGTGGGTGGGGTGGGGTGGAATGAATAGCGTGCGACTGCGAGCCGAGCACCTTAGCCCTGGGAATTGGCTCCCTTCCAGTCGAGACGAGATTCTGGAGGGGAGAGAGTCGACCACGTCGGGGTGGCGCAGCCTGGTTTCGCAGGGACGAGTTCATCGCGGTCTGCATACGTAAGCATGGCGAAGTCTTTCCTAACCAACGGTTGGATTTGGCAGTTCTGTGCAGAATATCGATTGAGAAGTCCGTTCAGTGAGTGTTGGCGGTTTGGGAGCTACAATTTATGAATGGGGTTCTACCAATTTGGCGGGAGCTGAAATGGCCATACTCGCGCCAGAACTCGCGCTCCGATATACACTATGACTTCTGATAAATCCTTCACTATACCACGTTGCACGACTTGACATCATAAACCTAGTCAAATATGGTAGGGAATCGTCATACTAAACAGAACATATTGATGGCTGGCCACTGCCAATTTCGCACCAGCAATACCTGGCTGTGCCCTCTATGATAGGTGGTAGATAACGTGTTGCATTAACTGCAGGGGTTAAATATTAGAGGCCAATGCTTGAACTCCCACATACTTGGGAGATTACTTGGATGGTGAGAGGGTTCACAATGGCCTTGCATCTCACGTATGCCTGATAAGTAAGCAGCAATAATGCACGAGAGCTCATGAGGAATTCCAGAAATAATACAAATTTCACCAGCCAGCTCTGGTCATATGTGACAACAAATCATGAATTTTAGACTGCTTACCTTGACTTGTGGTGAGGTCACTCCATTGTAACGAATTCGGGCAAGTGTAGTTATCAGTACCTGAAGTAAAGCAGCCAGGATGGGAAGAAAGAGAGAGAGCAACGAAGAAAGGCAGGCAGAGGGACGAAGACGAGAGGAGAAGTGGGGGGAGGAGGTGGGGAAGGGTGTTTGGGGGAGGCTTAAGTCCCAAAATGGCCCAGGAACTGAACAAGCATCACATAGGTCCAACTGCTCAATGCAAGCGTAACAATTTAATTTAGAAATCGTAAAGTACACTTCATGGACATGATCTGCTGGCTGCACTCACATCTATGGGCAGTTTCTGATTCATGACGGCAACGAGTGTACTGTAGCTGGTGCTGGACACAATGGGGAAGTCAACAACTTTCATGGGCACAGCAAACGGCGCACTTGTGCGTCCCTTCACTTGCACATTGTGAATCTGGGATGCGGGGGAGGTGTGAAATGATGGTGTGGAATGGAGAGTGGATAAATGGAGTAGGGAAAAGGCGGAGGTGCATTTAGAAACAAACACAATATGGGGTGGATTGTGCGGTCGACCGGGGGGTATTGATACAAAGGAGAAGCGGTGGACCAGGGAAACAGCATGAAATTGGGATATAGTGTGTGGGTTGTTCGAGAGGGGGAAGGGGTGTGCGACTGTGTGCGTGCGTGTGTGTGTGTGTGTGTGTGTGTAGTGTGTGTGTGTGTGTGTGTGTATGTGTGTGTGTGTGTGTGTGTCACCTTTGTGTTCCCCACACGTCTTCCTTTGTACTTCGCGTTCATCCAAATGGTATCAGCGAGCATCGTATACGCGTTAGGGTTGAGCATGCTTCCCGACGCGTTCATCCTTGCACTCATGTACAGCGCCAGCTTCTGGGGATCCAGCGGGTTACCATGTATCCGCAGCTGTAACGCCTGCACCACGATTTCGCCAACGGTCACCTTCGGCTCCTTGGGAATTGGCAACGTATCAGCTAGTCTGTCTATGAACTCTACTCCGGTAGTTGCTGATTTTGAAGCCCCTCTGGATGCACGGGCGCGTTGCTTCAACGCCCGCCGTCTTTGCTTATCCTGCTTCCTGCGCGTCCTCGCCTGGTCCTGCGCTTGCTGGGTCTGCTTCTGTTGCTGCTCACTCGCCCGACGCTGTTTCCACCATGTCAGCCTCACACTCAACAGGCTGGAAACCCCGAGTAGTACCCGTCGCTCCTTGACCAATCGCCTCGTCGCTTCTTCGAACCAGCCTCCTTCTTCCCGCATCACCCGCTCTCTCCGATCAGCAGCTCCGCTATCACCGCCATCACCGGTGTAAGCGCGTGATTCTATCTTTCGGAATGCGCGAGCTATCACATGATCACGACGGGAAGCCGGAACAAACCAGCCGTTCCGCGGGGTGAGATGATGGCTCGAGAGGACCAGCGCGCTGCACGTGGCAAGGATTGCGAGGATTGCGACGATTGGCGTAATGGGAGCAGCCACGTAGCAGGTCGTGTTGAGAGATTGCGGCTGTATTAGCACTACTTCGGTGCTCCTCCTGCTCGAAGCACTTGCTGTCACACTGCCTGTATCGCTCGCTTCGTGCGCTGTCGCAATACGCTTGTCGCTCGCTTCGTGCGCTGTCGCACTACGCTTGTCGCTCGCTTCGTGCGCTGTCGCACTGCACTTGTCGCTCGCTTCGTGCGCTGTCGCATTGCACTTGTCGCTCGCTTCGTGTGCTGTCGCACTGCTCTTATCGCTCGCTTCGTGCGCTGTCACCATTGCCTTCGCCTCGGCTCAGGCTGTATCCTGACGCTCGAAGCCTCGGTTAGCTACCCGCTTCTGACACAGGCATCGGCGATTAACTGCAAGAGGTTCGGCAGTATAGGGCCCGCTTTCTCCCACTGATAAAAACCGTAGGAGGCCGTATTGCTCAGCTTTATTTGAGCTAGATGGGGCAGTATCTATGCACATGATATCATGTGATGGGCCCATGCTACCCACTCCTGTGTTTCAGCCATGAGAGGAGCACATATCAAACCACGCCTTGTAGTAAATTTGTGTCCCATGAATGCGGTTGGCAATATGAATCAAGCAAGGAGCAACACCCACCCACCACACCCACCAAATCGCAAGTCCGCGAAGGTACGTATCGCTTCGCGAATGAGGATTCGCGAATCGAAAATGGGACTGACACAGGGGCGACGAGAGCCACACAATCGAAAAATGCGAAACAAAATGGGAGGGCGAAATTGGCGCAGAATCGCGTCTCAACTCGAAACAATCGTACCCACTATAAGCACACCTGCGTGGGTTCGCTGATTTAAATAGAGCTCAGTCTTCATTCGAATCACAGCCATATATGTGGGCGAAAACTACCTACATCTCAGGAACTAGTGCCCTGTCAAAATCTCCAGCATTTAAACCCTTCCGTGTACTGCCTAAGTGGAACCTAGGATGCTAATCTGGCAATCTAGCAAGGCAACGAGTTGCTGAATGAACCGTCGATGGCTCCACAGCACCCTCTCAGCAGCAGAGCTGATGCTCCAATCACCAGACGCCACATCCACACCACTACCACCTTCTCCAGAATCACCATCGCTATCTCTTTGCAGTCCATTTTCCTTGTCTCTTCTGCCTTCCGTTGAAGTGATGCTTGCATCCTGCTGGCCCGATGCTCCTCCCTTCAACCCTTCTTTCACCTTGCATAGATCGCCAACCACTCTCCCTGCTACCGTCCTTTGATCATCTACAGCTACACTACTGTTCACGCCAGGGAGCAACTCGATAAGAGCAAAAGCCATGTCATTATCGGGCAGACGACCCTTACCGCTAATCTGACCGGACAAGGCCTTTCGCAGGGATTGTAGTCCTGCCTGAGCCAACTCCTGGGCAGCTTTGACTGCCCGAACCACCTCGTCCGGCAGGCTTTGCTGGGCCGCATCCTGGGCGGTCTTTTTTGTCTTCTTCCCAACAGGTGGTTGGCTCTGTGCTGTAGAGTGCCAGTGGATATGATAATCGACAACCAAAAGGCAGACTCACCAATAAACAATCCCAAAGCGCATGACAGCAGCTTCCCAGAAACCACCAGAGGCGGAAGGTGCTTCTGGGAAGCTTCTGCAGAAGCTTCGGTGGAAGCTGCTGGCAGCACGCATTCCTTGTGCAGCAGCTGAAGTATGGCGGCCAGAGCTGCAGATACAGCCTGCACCAGTCCCACCGCCCTCTTGGCACTCACAGCAGCAGCAGCTGTGGGTGCACTGTCGTTAGTAGTGGTGCTGGTGGTGGCGCTGGTGTTGGTAGTGGCAGCGGTGGTGGGGGATTGGAGGCGGTGCAGTGAGAGCGAGGCGGTGAAGAGCAGACAGAGCAGCCGGGCTAGCAGAGATGGCAGGTCCTGCTGCTGCTGGGGGGGAATGGGGAGGAAAAGGATTGGGAGAAAACTATTTCTGAGGTGTTTTGAGACTTTGGCTGCTGCTGGGGAGAAGGGGGGATGGGGAGAGGGGGGTGCCGTGAAGGGGAGGTTGAAAATGAGCAATGTGAAGCAACAGCTGCGGTGCAGTAAAGACATTTAATTGCCACCACAGGCAGGGCTGCAAAGGCGACTCTTGAGTCACTTCAAAAGGAGCAGTAGAGCCATCCACGTGGCTCCCTTCCCACGGACAGGCAGCGCTGCAAAGACGTGCATCGCATTACGATGGGTGCTTCCGAGACGCCTCACAAGTCAAAGACGCGTACAAACATGCTTTTGAGTCGACTCAAAAGCAAACATGGGCTCGTCTTTCCCCCACAAGGCGCCTGGCTCTTGTTGCTCTTGTGCAACAAGTGGCTCCTGTTTGCTTCTCTCATCCCCAGCCACTCACCAGGGCGGAGTCAACCACTCCCTCCTCCGCCATCCGCTCCATCTCCTCCTCCCCAACCGCACTCAACCGGCAGTATTGCCGCAGCACCGCTTCCCACTCCCCTTGCACCGCCTCAAAATCCTCTCCACCCCCTGAGGCTCCCACTAAAACTCATTGCCTTTGTTTCCTTCTTCGGCCTTGCTCCACTACCACGCTCCCTTCTTTCCCCCTCCACTCCCTTCCCCTTCCCTCCATTCACTCTTCCCCCCCTTCCCCCTTCCCCCCTTTCCCCCTTCCCCCGCGCCCTCCCCTCCTTTTCCCCCGCAGCTGCACCTACCCCAGCTCCCACCTCCCTTTCGGCCCTTGAGGTGGGAAGAGGTGGGAGGGGGAGGAGAGGGAGAGGAGAGCAGGCGGGGAGGAGGCCTCTGGACTGCGCTGTGCTGTAGCAACAGCGACTCGCGGGATTGTTGCTGGTGGTTGCGGGGGAGAAGCGAGAGTGGGAAAGGAAAGATGGGGAGATAAAATGCGGGCAAGACAAGACAAGTGAGAGGACAAGTGGTGGGACGAGTGGGGGGGGGGGGGGGGGCGGGAGAGGAAGAAGAGGTAGGGGGAGGAGGCCTCTGGCCTGCGCCATGCTGTAGCAACAGAGACTCGCGAGATTGTTGCTGGTGGTGTGAGGAGATAAGAAAGTGAAAAGGAACAAACGTGGTGAAACGTGCAAGAAGGAATGGCAAAAAAATCGCGGGGAGCCTGAAGATAGTATTTCAACATTTTTAGAATCTAGAAATGGGATTTTTCGTGACTGAATGGAATCAACTCAAAAGGAGGGGCTGTTTCCTGTGTTTCCGAATATGGCTGTTCATTCACCTTGTGTGGCGATTCGAGGCTGGTCCAGCTGTCGGGTGGTGATGGCCTGCAGATGGGGACAAGGAGGGGAGAGTGAGTGAGAGAATGGGAAGGGTCTGAGGAAGCGCAAAGGGATGGGTCCCACCAGGGCTGCATTCGCCTTCACCAGTAATACAATTCTTCACAACACCACATGGTACCCTTCCACACGCCGCAAGCAGACCACTACAAGAGCAGAGGCAGGCAGAGGGCCCCAGCATGGCCGCAGCCGAAGTGCTATTTTTAGGCGGCTAAAAACTATTATCAGTGAGACGTCTCAAAGGCCTAAAATATTATATCAGTCACATAAAAGGATGCCCCGAGCTCCAGGCGGGAGACGGGTCGGTAGAATGGAAGACAGGGTCGAATGGAAGACAGGGTAAAATGGAGGATATTCGTTTTTCGAGATTAAAAAAAAAAACGAATGGAGGATATTCGTTTTTTGAGACTAAACAAAACGAATGGGGGATATAAGGGCAAGGAAATACTTTTCCAAAGAGTCCCAGGAGTCCAGTGAAAGGAAGAGGCAAGGGGTCCACCACGGCCGCACACCCAGTCCTCGTTCAACCTAACCAGACCCAGCTGCTCCGCAACTACCTGCCGACCTCCTCCGCCCGCCCCTGCTGCCGCGCAGCACATCCCGAACCTGCGCCACAGGTTCGGAAGCAGCGGTTTGGTTCGGAGCTGCCGAAGAGGATTGATTGGGTTGGGGGGATGAGGTGAGGGCCGAGGGGTGGGAGAGGGGGGCAGGAGGGCGAGGGGAGGGAGAGGAGGAGGGAGTTGGGCGAGAGGAGGAGGCGCTGGTGTGAGTGATTTAGGCGATGGTGGAAAGCTGCAAACTCACGGATCTGCCACGGGGGAAGGAGGACAGGGGGAGGGGAGATTGGGGAAGGGGTGGTGGGAATACAATATGAATAGGAGGAGGTGCTAGTGAAAGTGCTGCAGGCGATTGTGGAAAGCTGCAAACTCACGGACCTGACACGGGAGGGAGAATCATAGGGAGAACTTTTGAGGCGCCTCAAAAGCCTGACACGGGAGGGAGAAATCATAGGGAGAAGGATGTAGGGCGAATCATAGGGAGAAGATGGAGGGCGAATCATAGGGAGAAGGATGGAGGGCGAAGGA